TTTACGCCAGTGGGGTTAAGAGGGGTGGGGGGAACATTTGCCCCCCTAAAAAAGTGATTTGCACCCCCAATTGTACCCCCACTTTATTTTCCACAAATAATGTCTACCTTTTTTTCTCCAAAATGTGTGTCAGAATGCACAAAATCAATTCATTGTTTCTAACATTTTCTTGGTAGAACCCTCTAAGACACTCTATGAGAGGCTTGTGAATATGACACCGCCACAGAGTAGCCAAAATTTGAATTCAGCATCAGCATTTGTCCCCCCATCGAATCAGTCTGCCCATATTTGTCCCCCAATCTCGGGAGGCTGGCGCGTCTCTGAGAACTTACAACACCATGGGAATATTTATACCATCATTGCATACCAGATATTAAGATACCAAAACTAAAAAAAACATCCAATTCATCGCTGCCAGTAGTATTTCATACTAGGCCTACTAGTGATGTGAACAGTTTTGAGAATATCAAAAAATTATTGTTGAAGTATTCTCGAACAATTTTAACGATATTTTATTACGGTCGTCTGCTTGTAAAATGTTGGTGGGAAATGGAGACTATTTGACGTCTGTTTGGGAATGAAAATGGCTGGTAAGTTTGTTAACGAGTCTGTATTGTTGGATATTTGACGAGTCAAGATGGCAGACGAAGAATGGATGATAATTTTCAAGAGAAAACCTTTTAGTACAAGTGCTTTCAACGTCTTTTAACTCTACTGAAAACAAGACTGGACAATCACACAACAGTCTCAAGTAGCAGTCTCGATTGTCTTACAAGGGTCAATCGGAAGGTTACCAATTTACTTTAAATGTGTAATGTTTGTTTCAGAACAAAAATTATTTTTCTCAAAAGACGCGGGAAAATGTATTTTAATCAACTTTTTCTGTGTATTGTAAAACATGGTGGATAATTAGGTCAATGCAAATGAAGAAACGTCGATTGTCCTGTTAAAGGGAAGTTATCGTGTTATTATTGTTTACTGTCTTCAAAACTAACTCCACTAATTCATTTTCTTTCCACGAAAAATCTCGAAATTGGCCTTCAATAGCCTTTTCCAAAATCTCCTTGAAACTTTCCAATATGTCACAAAAATTCAATATATCATGACCATGAAGTATATGGCTCGTCAAGCTGAAAGAATTCCACACCCAAACCACAAATTAGTCAAAATAGGCTTGCAAAAAACCCAAAACGGACTACAGTCGATACTTTGGCTAGATCGGGAATATCAGTTTCATCACATTACTTATAGTCTTAGTTGGTTTAGAAAAATATGCCTTGATAAAATATAATGTTTTTGTAAATTTGCGTTTAATACAAATACACTTCTCCCAGAGGAATTTCTACCGAAAATGTTTCAAATTTTGACCGAAATTATCATTGTATTGGGAATTTCAAAATGAAAGTTTGTGTCTATTTTTATCAACGCATCAAAGTCATTCAAAACAAATTTTCATCTTTTAAGATGTTTGAATTCCGACTATCAATAGCTTACACAGTAACGGAGCCAAAGGGCGTTACCACAGACGGGGAAGTAAACCTGGCTCCGTCACTGAGCTTACACTATATAAATATGTTCATTATTATCATTATTATCAACTTACCGTAAGATAACAATTACGATAACAATTTCTGATCATTGACAATCAAATGTTTTCCCTTGAACTTCAGTCAGGCTTAGTCAAGTGGTTACTTCGTATAAACAGTTTAAGGGAACTTTATAATCGTGATGACCGACCCATTCCTCGATTGCCCGGGGGTGAGGTCAATAACCACCGACGCCATCCTGACTTTTGGTTAAAAAAAAGTTGGGAATACTAAAGTATGGTTGACCTACTCAAATTCATAAAATATGAAAATGACACTGTCATCGAGTGTTTGTGGGTTCGAATCTCATCCAGACCACGATGTCTTTTTTTTAAATTTTTCTAAATTTATGAAAAAGATAACAATGAATTAAAGGTGGACAATTGAACTTTTTAATCTGCGAGAAGTTTAAATATGTTTAAAAATAGAATCCCTGTTTTGCTATGATTATCACATTGTCTGAAATAATTACGTATATTATTTCTATCATCATTCATTGTATAACAGACCGAGGTGATAAATATTCATGATGTCACATGATCTGGTCAATCAACATACTACTTCATGATATGTTTTGTGAATATAAACACATGCACGAACCTGGTAAATAACATAATATATTGTGTAGGTTTTTTTTCTCATGTATTCAGTATATTGTCCCCGTGAGCTGAATGTTAGTCAGGACCATGTCTTTGAGTATTTGGCCTAATTCTGACACATGCAAAATAAAAAGAACCATTTTAACAGTGGTATTTCTATTTTGCTCTACAATTAATATATTGAGCACTATTTTAACTAGTTTAATGTGAATCATATTTATAATTCCATTTACTTTAGTCAATTTCTCACATCAATTTATTGTCTGCCATCGACTTCCGGTATTTTACTTATTTCATCTAATCAGAAAATGATTTAGATTTTCTCCTTAGATTTTCCAGCTCGTGATTGGTCTCTATGTTGCATGCAGCACGCTTTTTAATTTTTCACCAGGAAATTGGCGTTGCCTCGAGAGAAGTCATCTGACATTTAAGAAATGATTTCAGATTCGTGTTTGTGCCAATAAAAATGGCGGCTAGGAAATATTTTATGAGTGCTGTAAATACTTTTATTGTCAGATTTTATTCAAATGCTTCCAATATCATTATTTTCACCATATGGTTTGCAGTTTACTATTTATTATTGGTACGTTGAGTTAAATGTAAGTTTGCTCACCATCAGTAGCGTATTTAGGGGGATGGCTTCTGGCAGCTCTCAGATCCCTGTCTTCAACGGGTTATGGCCTCGGGAGAAACAACTCTCACTTTTGGTCCCCTCTTCAGGTATTTTTCTAGATACGCCAGTAACCATAACCTACTATGCATTCATGACCAAATACCAACTGAGCTAAATTACCTTATTGTTTTGTACCATCGTCGTCGTTAACACCCTTTTCGCAATAGATATATAGGCCCATAGTTTATTTGGTCTAATAGTTATGTATGAGGTGCTTAATTTTGCTTAATAAATAGGGGTAAATGAATTTTATTGGGGGAGTAAGTGGTAACGCGTCGGAATGTTTGTCCCAAAACATTGTTGAAACCACCAAAAATGTCCAAGAACACAATAAAAGCTCAAATTTTCAATCAATTCTGATGAAATTTACTGTGATTATTGGATTTGATAAGCTCAACAGTACAACAATGGATAACCCAGAGTTAGGTGATGTGTGGTGTTTCTATACGCAAACAACAGTACAACTGTGGATAACCCAGAGTTAGGTGATGTGTGGTGTTTCTATACGCAAACAACAGTACAACTGTGGATAACCCAGAGTTAGGTGATGTGTGGTGTTTCTATACGCAAACAACAGTACAGCTGTGGATAACCCTGAGTTGGGTGATGCCTTGCTGTTTCTATGAACTTTACATTTAGATGATGTCTTGCTCTGACCTGTAAAGCAGTGGGTAATACGGAATTAGATGTTGTCTGGTACTTCTATGAACAGTACAACAGTTGATAACCCAGATAAATGTGATGTCTTGCTGATTATTTGAACAGACAACAGTACAGCAGCGGATAACCAAAATATAGGGTGATGTCTTGCTATTTGTATGAATAGACAACTGTGTACAGCAATGGATAACCAAGAGCTAGATGATGTCTTGCTGTTTCAATTAACAGTACAGCAATGGATAACCAAGAGCTAGGTGATGTCTTGCTGTTTCTATGAACAGCACAGCAGTATATAAATCGGTGTTAGGTGATGTATGGTGTTTCTATAAGCAGACAACAGTACAACAGTGGATAACCCAGAGTTATGTGATGTCTTGCTGTTTCTATGAACAGTACAGCAGTGGGTAATACGGAATTAGATGATGTCTGGTATTTCTATGAACAGACAACAGTACAGCAGTGGATAACCCAGAGCTAAGTAATGAATTGCTGTTTCTATGAACAGACAACAGTAAATAACCCAGACTTTGGGGTTATCTTGCTGAGTATATCAATAGACAACTGTACAACAGCGAATAACAGAGATTTATGTGATATCTTGCTGTTTCTATGAACAGCACAGCAGTATATAAATCGGTGTTAGGTGATGTCTGGTGTTTCTATAAGCAGACAACAGTACAACAGTGAATAATTCAGAGTTGTGTGATGTCTTGCTGTTTCTATGAACAGTACTACAGTGAATAACTCAGAGTTATGTGATGTCTTGCTGTTTCTAAGAACAGTACAACAGTGAATAACTCAGAGTTATGTGATGTCTTGCTGTTTCTATGAACAGTACAACAGTGAATAACTCAGAGTTATGTGATGTCTGGTATTTATGATTATAGAAGAAGACAACAGTACAGCCACAGTACAATAGTGAAACATTTCATGAAACAATCTGAATTAAAGCATTATTCGTACAAATACACTATCTTTTAGAATGACCTATATAATTATCTATATCGTTCATGAAAACTGTATTATCAAATTGTACCTAGCTATCTACACCAGTATGGCCTGACTATCTTTCCCAAACTGCGGTGTGCCTCATATCAGGGTGTTTGGTTAACGTCAACAGATTACAACTTCGTCTTCAAATATTTCCTGGCAAACGATGAAATATATCAGATCCACATCTCTAGTGTATTTTATACCTGAATATTCTATTTTCAACCAGAACATCTCCAGTGTGTTTTATACCTGAATATTCTATTCTCAACCAGGACATCTCCAGTGTGTGTTATACCTGAATATTCTATTTTCAACCAGGATATCTCCAGTGTGTGTTATACCTGAATATTCTATTTTCAACCAGGACATCTCTAGTGTGTTTTATACCTGAATATTCTATTTTCAACCAGGACATCTCTAGTGTGTGTTATACCTGAATGTTTTATCTGAAAAGAGGTGGTTTTTTTTAATTTATAATAGAAAAATAAAATGGCCACAGCGTCAGCAAGTAACACACCAGAATGTTCTATTTGTTTTGGAAGTTTTGAAAAACCAAAGATTGTACCATGTGGTCACACTTTTTGTTTGTGGTGTATAGAAAGATTTATCGCCGATAAAACAAAGACATTCCCCTGTCCGATCTGTAACCAGGATATTAGAATTCCAAAACGTGGTGCTAAGATGTTCACTACTAACATTATACTTCAAACATTCCAACATACAACACAAGTAAAAGACCAACATCCCTCAACAACACAACCAAGATGTCCCAACCATAATCAGAGGGGAGTAGATTATTACTGTAATAATTGTAATGTAGGATTATGTTTTAGGTGTATATTTAAACAACACAAATATCATGAAACACTGGATATAGAATGTGACGAAACACGGAATAAAACCATAGAAAAACTTGAACGTTCGCATAAAATTATTCGAAACAGAATAAAAAACTTGGAGAAATCTCGCTCTACATTATTAGAATCATTTGAACAACTGGAAACGTTGTGTGAAGATTCCTGCGCTAAAGTGACTGAAATAACGGAGCAAATTGTTTCAGATTTGCGAAAGAGTTGTGAACAGGTTAAAAAGGAAATTCGGGAAAATTTAGAAGAAAATAGGAGTAAAGTAGAAGATAGAGAGATAGAAATTACAAGTGAAATAAAAACATTTGAAAGTAATATAGAATCAAATATTTCACCTTCAACTAGAACAACATTAGACATTTTATTAACATTGCCTCGTTTGGTAGAAATAGAAACTCTGGGTGAAAGTAAAGATTATAACTTGTGTTTACAATATCTACAGTGGGTGAGGAAAGATTTTAGTTTACATATAGATCAGTTAGGGTCGGTTATTTCTAAATCATTTTACATACTAGGTTCGAGTCAGTTTCATTTTGATATTAGTGATATACAAGAAGATGGTAATTTGTATTACAGTAATAACAAGTTTAGAGACAACAACCTGGTATGGAGTTGTAGTGTAATGAAGGATGTAGATGATTTATATATCGATATTGAACTATTACCAGAAGACAATCCAAACCTAAATAATTGTATTATTGGTGGTCAAATCAGTTTATTAAATTTTGATGATGACAGTAAAACTAAAACTGAAACAGTAATTGATGTATTAGACAAGGACGATTCCTGGGGGTTGCTTTATACTACCACGTCGGAAATTACAGACAATGGTTTTTTAACTCCGAAAGGTCAGTTTGTGATTCAATGGGTTATAGCATAACGTAACACCGATTTAAGTCAGTAAAATAGTATAATAATATTATAATCTCTATTACGTCTTGAGTCTAAAACATAGTTAAAATTACCTTTCAATACCAACTAGAAATAAATCAGAGATTAACCTTTCAACTTATACCAACTAGTAATAAATCATAGATTAACCTTTCAACTCATACCAACTAAAGATAAATCATAGATTAACCTTTCAACTCATACCAACTATAAATAAATCATAGATTAACCTTTCAACTCATACCAACTAGAAATAAATCATAGATTAACCTTTCAACTTATATCAACTAGAAATAAATCATAGATTAACCTTTCAACTCATATCAACTAGTAATAAATCATAGATTAACCTTTCAACTCATACCAACTATAAATAAATCATAGATTAACCTTTCAACTCATACCAACTAGAAATAAATCATAGATTAACCTTTCAACTCATATCAACTAGAAATAAATCATAGATTAACCTTTCAACTCATATCAACTAGTAATAAATCCTAGATTAACCTTTCAACTCATACCAACTATAAATAAATCATAGATTAACCTTTCAACTCATACCAACTAGAAATAAATCATAGATTAAACTTTCAACTTATATCAACTAGAAATAAATCATAGATTAACCTTTCAACTCATACCAACTATAAATAAATCATAGATTAACCTTTCAACTTATACCAACTAGAAATAAATCATAGATTAACCTTTCAACTCATACCAACTATAAATAAATCATAGATTAACCTTTCAACACATACCAACTAGAAATATACCATAGATTAACCTTTCAACTCTCACCAACTAGAAATAAATCATAGATTAACCTTTCAACTCATACCAACTAGAAATAAATCATAGATTAACCTTTCAAATCATACCAACTATAAATAAACCATAGATTAACCTTTCAACTCATACCAACTAGAAATAAATCATAGATTAAACTTTCAACTCATACCAACAAGAAAAAAAATAATAGATTAACCCTTCAACTCATACCAACTAGAAATAAATCATAGATTAACCTTTCAACTCATACCAACTAGTAATAAATCATAGATTAACCTTTCAACTCATACCAACAAGAAAAAAAATAATAGATTAACCCTTCAACTCATATCAACTACAAATAAATCGTAGATTCTCCCTCCTCCTTTAATTAAATCCTTTTTGTTAGAAATTCTACTCTTACAACTCCCGCGATCAATCCATGCCATCATTTGTCTATAATAATTTATAATATTATTCATTTCATATTTAAAATGTAAAAATGTGTATTTCAATGTAAAAATGTGTATTTCAATGTAAAAATGTGTATTTCAATGTAAAAATGTGTATTTCAATGTAAAAATTTGTATTTCAATGTAAAAAATTTGTATTTCAATGTTACAAATTGTATTTCAATGTAAAAATTTGTATTTCAATGTAAAAATTTATATTTCAATGTAAAAATTTGTATTTCAATGTAAAAATGTGTATTTCAATGTTACA